GTCTCTACTGAAAATACAAAAACATTAGCCGGGCGTGGTGGCGGCACCTGTGGTCCCAGCTACTCGGGAGGCTGAGGCCGGAGAATGGTGTGAACTCGGGAGGCAGATCTTGCAGTGAGCCGAGATTGCACCACTGCACTCCAGTCTGGGTGACAGAGTAAGATTCCGTCTCAATAAAATAAATAAATAAAAAAAATTTTAAAAACACACAAGCAGCTGGCTAGGTCACAGAGCGGTCAAGGAACCCTACGTTTCTGTCAGGACAAGAGAAAAGGCAAGTGGAACTGGGGGACCCTACTGTGTTTTTTGGTGTCAGATGGGTAATGTGCTGACTTTGTAAGAAGGTTTGAGGAAAGCACATCTCACATGAGTGGGAAACCAAATTATCACACTGATGAACTACAAAAGAATCGGTGTTTGGCCGGGCGCGGTGGCTCAAGCCTGTAATCCCAGCACTTTGGGAGGCCGAGACGGGCGGATCACGAGGTCAGGAGATCGAGACCATCCTGGCTAACACAGTGAAACCCCGTCTCTACTAAAAATACAAAAACTTAGCCGGGCGAGGTGGCAGGCGCCTGTAGTCCCAGCTACTCGGGAGGCTGAGGCAGGAGAATGGCGTGAACCCGGGAGGCGGAGCTTGCAGTGAGCTGAGATCCGGCCACTGCACTCCAGCCTGGGTGACAGAGCGAGACTCCGTCTCAAAAAAAAAAAAAAAAAAAAAAAAAGAATCGGTGTTTACAGCTATTAATTTCCATCTGAGCACAACCTTGCTCCATCCCATACATTCTAGTAGTTTCTGCTCCCGTTTTCATTCATCTTTAAGTATTTTCTACCTTCCCTTGTAAGTTCTTCTTTGACCCATTGGTTAAGAGTATATTGTTTAATTGCCACATATTTGCAAAATTTCCAGCTTTTCCTGTTACTCATTTCTTTCTTTCTTTCTTTTTTTTGTTTTTTTTTTTGAGACGGAGTCTCGCTCCGTTGCCCAGGCTGGAGTGTAGTGGTGCAATCTCAGCTCACTGCAGCATCTGCCTCCCGGACTCAGGCGATTCTCCTGCCTCAGCCTCCCGAGTAGCTGGGATTATAGGCACGCACCACCATGCCTGGCTAATTTTTGTATTTTTAGTACAAATGAGGTTTCACTATGTTGGCCAGGCTGGTCTCGAACTCATGACCTCAGGTGATCCGCCTGCCTCAGCCTTCCAAAGTGCTGAGGTTTATAGGCGTGAGTCACCACACCTGGCCTCCTGTTACTCATTTCTTTCTTTCTTTTTTTTTTTTTTTTTTTTTTGAGACAGAGCCTCGCTCTGTCGCCCAGGCTGGACTGCAGTGGCCGGATCTCAGCTCACTGCAAGCTCTGCCTCTCGGGTTTACACCATTCTCCTGCCTCAGCCTCCCAAGTAGCTGGGACTACAGGCGCCCACCACCTCGCCCGGCTAGTTTTTTGTATTTTTTAGTAGAGACAGGGTTTCATCACGTTAGCCAGCATGGTCTCGATCTCCTGACCTCGTGATCCGCCCGTCTCGGCCTCCCAAAGTGCTGGGATTACAGGCTTGAGCCACCGCGCCCGGCCCTGTTACTCATTTCTAATGTCATTCCATTGTGGCTGAAAAACATGCTTTGATGGATGGGCACACTAACTCAAGCCTACAATCCCAGTGCTTTGGGAGCCCCAGGTGGGAGGCTCATTTGAGAACAGGAGTTCAGGAGCCACCTGGGCAACATAGTGAGATCCCATCTCTACAAATTAAAATTAGCCAGGTGTGGTGGTGTGCACCTGTAGTCCTAGCTACTTGGGAGGCTGAGATGGGAGGATCACTTGAGCCCAGGAGTTCAAGGCTACATTGAGCTATGGATCATGCCACTGCACTCCAGCCTGGGAGGCAGACACACACACACACACACACGTGGGTGTGTGTGTGTATATACATATTGTATCATTTCAACCTTTGAGGCTAGGCATGGTAGCTCATGCCTGCAATCCCAGCACTTTGGGAGGCTGAGGTGGGCAGATCACCTGAGGTCAGGACCAGCCTAACCAGCATGGCGAAACCCTTCTCTACTAAAAATACAAAAATTAGGCCAGGTGCAGTGGCTCACCTTGTAATCCCAGCACTTTGGGAGGCCGAGGCAGGCGGATCATGAGGTCAGGAGTTCGAGACCAGCCTGGCCAACACAGTGAAACCCCTACTCTACTAAAAATACAAAAATTAGCTGGGTATGGTGGCAGGCGCCTGTAATCCTAGCTACTTGGGAGGCTGAGGAAGGAGAATAGCTTGAACCCAGGAGGCAGAGGTTGCAGCGAGCTGAGATCGCGCCACTGCACTCTAGCCAGGGCAACAAAACAAGGAAAAAAAAAAAAAAAGAAAGAAAAAAAAAGAAAATGTATTAAAATTTCTTTTAATATATTTTAATTTATATTTAATATGTGGCCTAACACATGGTCTGTCCTGGAGGATGTTCCATGTGCTTAAAAAAATGTGTATTCTCTGTTGTTGGGTGGAGTGTTCCCTGTCTGTCCTGTCTAGTTAAGATTTTAGCACTGTCCAAACCCTCTATTTCCTTGTTGCTCTGCCACCTAGGTAAGTTTTCCATTATTAAAATAGGTTGAGTGACATCTACAACTATTATTGTAGAACTTATTTCTGTCTTCAGTTCTGCCAATGTTTGCTTCATATATTTTGGGAGCTGTTCTTGGTACATACATCTTTATAATTGCTATAATTTGTTCATGAATTGACCCTTTTATTACTATGTAGTGTCCTTATATCATGTAATAATTTTTTGTTTTATTTTGAAATGAGGTCTTGTTCTGTTGCCCAGCCTGGAGTGCAGTGGTGCATAGTTCATGACTGCCTCAAACTCCTCGATTCCCACAATCCTCCTGCCTCAGCTGCCTGAGTAGCTAGGACTACAGGTCCTAATTTATTTTATTTTTTGTAGAGATGGGATCTCACTATTTTCACGAGGCTGCTTTTGAACTTCCTGCCTCACTTGATCCTCCCACCTCGGCTTCCCCAAGTTGAGATTACAGGCATGAGCCACTGTGCCCAGTCCATCCTTTTACTTTCAATCTATTTAAATCTACTTCTCAAAAGCATCTGGAATTTGACCATTCTCCTTCCTGAACCATATCTTCAATGAGATGTTTCCTGGTTCTCTGGCTGCCCCTGCCCTCCCCGCCGACCCCAATCTTCTCAGCCTGGTGGCACCCAGACTAGGCCTGACCCCTTCTTCCAACCTTTCCAGACGACACAAACCACCTGTACCAGGGACTCCTAACACCTGTCTCCCCTGGCAGACTCTGATACCGGCACCATCTGCCCACCAAGGTCTCCATGGTGCCTCCCAGGCATCTCACAGTGGGCAGATCCAAAACAGAGCTCCTCAGTGTCCCCAAGCCAGAGCCTGTGCAGCCTGTGCTGGCCCCTCCACCCGGAGACCCGCCCTGCTTCTCCCAAGGCCACTCCTGTGGAGCCCTCCTCCCCCCACTCAGCTTTTCCCACAGCCAGGCAGCTCTCCTGGCCTCCTGCCCTCCACTGTGTCTCCACCCAGCAGCCAGAGCAGTTTCGAAGTAAACATCTCAGACACCCAGTCCACGCCAAAATCTTCCCGCACACATCAACTGAACACTCCATGCTGCCTCTGTAGCAGGACAAGCCGCAGACAAAACCTCTAACACTGGGTTAAAGGAGGAAGTGGCTTTATTTGGCCAGGAGCTTCGGCAGACTTGTGTCTTAAGTACCAAGCTCCCTGAAAAAGAAATTCCTGGCCCTTTTAAGGGCTTCCGACTCTAAGGGGTCCACGTGAAAGGGTCGTGATAGAACGAGCAAGCACGGGAAATGTGACTAGGGGCTATGCATCAGCTAACAGAACAGAAAGTTTTACAATGCTTCCTCATACGATGTCTGGCATTTACAGATAACACAAGTAGTTCAGGTCAGGAGCTGATGTTATTATTATTTTAACCACCAGGGACAGGTGGTGGCGCCAAGGTCGTCTGGCTATTTATCTTCTGTTTCTTTCCAACCTTTCGATTTCTCCCTTTTCTGTCTTATAAACCAGGCAACGTGGGGAGAAGAGGGCAGCAGGAGAAATGGTGGTCTCCTTCCTTACCTCCAGGACCTGCAGGACCACGGCTGGACTGAGCCAACCCTCACTCCATCTCCCAGCCCTGGGAATTTCACCGTCCCAAATATGCCAAGGTCCTCCTTGCCTCAAGCAGTTTCGCTCAGGCTCAAGTGAGCCTCTCCCCACCCTGCCCTGCCAGCAGCTTCTCAGCCCTGAGATCTCGCCTTCAGTGCCACGGCGCCCCCTTTGCCCTCAGGACTAGCCACTGTTCTTCCCCAGGGCCCTGCTCTTTTCCACACAGGACGCACATATGCCACCTGCCTCTGCCCGTCTGTGGCTGGCTTCTCACCAGCCTCTCCTACAAATCTGTTTTATTCATCTCTGCACACTCAGAACTAAAACGGGAACTGGCCACGGTAGGCGTTCAAGGAGAATGAAACAAAGAATATGCCTGTTTCTTCCCAGCCAAGGATAGTTCGCGCCCCCAGAGACAGACACAAAAGGGACTCAGACAGGCATGCTCTGAGTTGAGGGTCTCGGCTGAATCTCAGTGACTCTCCGACTGAGAGTCTATAACGCCCTTCAGCCAAAGACCACTGCAAACACGCCTGTAGGTAAACAACTTGGGTCTTTTACTGTATGCACTGTGTACAAACACACCAGGCTAAGACAGTGAGGTGTCAGCAACAGAGTGTTCCGAGGAAACTATTACAGGATTTCACCTGTAGTTGGGTGATTTGGGGGATGATCTAAGGAAGGAGGATATGCTTCTAGATTAGACGCACGCTGGAGCCCAGGAGGTCAAGGCCGCAGTGGGCCGTGATCGCCACTGCACTCCAGCCTAGGCGACAGAGGGAGACCTTGCCTCAAAAATATAAAAATAAAAGATTGGACGCTGTGGGAAGGTAAGAGGGTAATTCTCAACTTACGTTCGCTGCACGTGACAGGGTGAGCTGTGCGTTCCTTGCTTAGAATCAAGAAAAGGTCTTGGTTCATCTCACTTTATCGTGGCGTCTGCGTGGCGCTTCATACCTCACAGAACAGGGGCTGGCTACGAGGGTCACACCAGGCCACAGTAAGCGTCAGGGGCCGCTTGCCTTCTTAGGAGCACCAGGTCCAGAGGTTTCCGCTCCAAGAGGGACCGGGGCCTGGGCAGAAAAGCAAACGAAGCCCAGACAACCTGCTGGGGCTCCCTCTTCCCGCCACCACCGCCCCGCACAATTCGGGCCGCTGAGACTGGTGCAGACGCGCCGACCACGGATGCCCCGGCCCGGAAAGCCCATTAGCACATTTGCCCCTTTTCGCGGGGAAGGGGTGGAGAGGGCAGCGTCGAGGGAGTCGAGTCCGCCCGCCCAGGCCCCGCTGGGAGCCGCAGGCTGGGAGGGCGGTGGGTACAGCTGCCCCTGGCCTCGGTCAGTCCGGCGCGGCCCTCACCCTGCAGCACAGGCGCCGCCGGCAGCTCTTGCTGTTGCCGTAGCTCTCTCCAAAGCTCTGCGTCACCGAAATGAAGTTCTGATGAGGCAGCGGCGGCGAATGCGTGGAAGGAGGCCTCGAAGAACCACCAGCGGCATCAGGAGAGCCCGTCCTGAAAAAGACCTAGAGCTCCGCCTCTCCGAGACTCGCGGGCAGCCATTGCGGCGCACCGAGCCGTCCGGGTGTGCGCAACGCGCACGCGCACGCAATGCGCCTCAACCCCCCCCCCCGCAGCCTACTGCGCCTGCGCCGAGCGCCCACGGCCTGCGGCGCCTGCGTCAAACCCCGTGGCTGTCGCCACGGCAACAGGGCGGGCCTTGGTTCCTCTTGGGGCGTGGCCGGTGCCTGGGATTCCAGCACTGTTCGCCCCGCGGGTCTGGATCTGGGTTGTTCTCGCCGCCTGTCATCGGACGGCACCGGCTTTGCCCACGCCCTCGCGAGAAGACGCTGACACCCGGGACCCGGGGAGGCTCCCGGGCGCCGCCGCCATGTTTTCAGGCAGCTCCAGCTCCCGGCTATTCAGTTCCGGGACCCACAGCGCGGGGATGGGGCTGGGCCGCCCTTGGTAGCCGTCCTGGGCTGAGGGCCACCCTGGCCGCGTGGTCACCGGCAAGAAGCCCAGGCGCGGCGTCGTGGGGGTCGAGGGAAGGACCGGACCCTCCCAGGGTCGCGGAACCGGCCGGGTGGAGCGTAGCTGGGCGGCACCTGGGCTGGGGTGGCCGCTAACCCGAGCTAAGCTGCCCGCGCCGCATCGCACCGTCCCCGGGACCCGAGCGCTGCGCCTGGACCGGGCCGAGCGAGGGGACCCACGCCATAGGCGGGTCGGGGCTTTCAGACCCGACTCCAGCCCTCGAACCCGGTAGCCTTGGAGGTCAGCAGCTTGAGATGACTGCGCTTCCTGCGCGCATCGTCCTTCACCAAAACGCCCAAAATGGCAAAAGCGGCGTCCGTGGCCGCCCGAGGCCCTCGCTGCCTGCGTTCTCCCCTTCCACACCTCACTCCCGGCCCTTCACCCAATCTCTTCTGGCCAGGCTGCCCCTGCCTCTTGGGCGATTCTGCTGCGCCCCACGGTCCTGGCTGTGGCATTTCTCGGTCTCTGGAGGGCTCGCCCGGCAACGACGTCTCATGTCTATAATCCCGGCCCTTTGGGAGGTCGAGGCAGGTGGATCACTTGAGATCAGGGGTTCAAGACCAGCCTGGCCAATATAGTGAAACTCCATCTCTATTAAAAATACAAAAATGAAGCCTGTAATCCCAGCACTTTGGGAGGCCGAGACGGGCGGATCACGAAGTCAGAAGATCGAGACCATCCTGGCTAACACGGTGAAACCCCGTCTCTACTAAAAAATACAAAAAACTAGCCGAGCGAGGTGGCGGGCGCCTGTAGTCCCAGCTACTCGGGAGGCTGAGGCAGGAGAATGGCGTAAACCCAGGAGGCGGAGCTTGCAGTGAGCTGAGATCGCGCCACTGCACTCCAGCCTGGGCGACAGAGCGAGACTCCGTCTCAAAAAAAAAACAAAACAAAACAAAAATGAGCGGGGTGTGGTGTCGGGCACCTGTAATCCCAGCTACTTGGGAGGTTGACTCAGGAGAATCGCTTGAACCTGGAAGACGGAGGTTTCAGTGAGCCAAGATCGTGCCACTGCACTCCATCCTGGGCGATAGAGCGGGACTCCGTCTCAAAAAAAAAAAAAGAAAAAAAAAATTAGATGTGTTGATGCCTCTAGTCCCAGCTACTTGGTAGGCTTAAAAGGTGGATCCCTTGAGCCTGGCAGGTGGAGACTGCAGTGAGCTAAGATTGCACCACTACACTCCAATCCTGGCAACAGAGTGAAATCCTGCCCCCACACACACACACAAAATAATCCCAACTACTCAGATGACTAAGGCACGAGAATTGCTTGAGCCTGGGAGGCAGAGGTCACCATGAGCCAAGAATGCACCATTGCACTCCAGTCCCAGTGACAGAGTGAGACTGTCTCAAAAAAAAAAAAAAAAAAAAAGGAAGTCAGTGAAATAGAAAGCGGAAAAACAACAGAAAATCGATGAAATAGAAAGCTTTTATTTATTCACTAATTTTTTTTGAGACAGTCTTCTCTGTCGCCCAGGCTGTGGTGCAGTGGTGCCATCTTGGCTCACTGCAACGTCTGCCTCCTGGATTCAGCGATTCTCCTGCCTCAGCCTCCCGAGTAGCTGGGATTACAGGCGCCTGCCACCATGCCCGGCTAATTTTCATATTTTTTGTAGAAATAGGGTTTCACCATGTTGGCCAGGCTGGTCTCGAACTCCTGACCTCATGACTCGCCTGCCTAGGCCTCCCAACGTGTTGGGATTACAGGCATGAGCCACTGTGCCTGTCCAGGAATATAGGGTTTTAATATTCAAAAATGAATTAATGTTATGTACTAAGTTACTAGACTAAAGCACAAAAATTACATTACCATCTCAAGAGATGCAGAAAAAGCATTTGACAAAATCCAATACCTGTTTACAATAAATATTTTTAACAAACTAGGGAAAATGAAAATGGGAACTTTTTTTTTTTTTTTTTTTTGAGATGGACTTTCATTCTTGTTGCCCAGGCTGGGGTGCAATGGTGTAATCTCAGCTCACTGCAACCTCCATCTCTGGGGTTCAAGTGATTCTCCTGCCTCAGCCTCCCAAGTACCCAGGATTACAGGTGCCCGCCACCAAGCCCGACTAATTTTTTTTCTTTTGTGTGTGTGTGTGTATTTTTAGTAGAGACAGGGTTTCACCATGTTAACCAGAATGGTCTTGAACTCTTGACCTCAGGTGATCCACCCGCCTCTGCCTCCCAAAGTGCTAGGATTACAGGCATGAGCCACCATGCTTGGTCAGGAAAAATGGGAACTTTTAAATGCTTTTCCAGTAGCACTGGAGACAGTATGAGATGTCTGCTCTCATCATTTATATTGTCACGGTGCTGGGTTTCTATGCAGTCCTCTCAGGCAAGAAGAGAAATAAAAGGTGGCCAGGCACAGTGGCTCACACCTGTAATCCCAGCACTTTGGGAGGCCAAGGCAGGAGGATCCCTTGAGCTCAGGAGTTTGAGACCTTTGAGACCAGCCTGGACAACACAGTGAGATCCCATCTCTAAAAAATATATATATATACGGCTGGGCGTGGTGGCTCACACCCGTAATCCCAGCACTTTGGGAGGCCAAGGCGGGTGGATCACGAGGTCAGGAGATCGAGACCATCCTGGCTAACACAGTGAAACCCCGTCTCTACTAAAAATACAAAAAATTAGCCGGGCATGGTGGTGGGCGCCTGTAGTCTCGGGAGGCTGAGGCAGGAGAATGGCGTGAACCCGGGAGGTGGAGCTTGCAGTGAGCCGAGATCGCGCCACTGCACTCCAGTCTGGGAGACACAGCGAGACTCCATCTCAAACAAACAAACAAATAAAAATATATATATACACAAAAATCAGCCGGGCATAGTGGTTTGTGCCTGTAGTCCCAGATACTTAGGAGGCTGATGTGGGAGGTTCACCTGAGCTTGGGGGATTGGGACTGCAGTTAGCTGAGATCATGCCACTGCACTCCAGCCTGGGTGACAGAGCAAGACCCTGTCTCAAAAAAAAAAAAAAAAAAGAAAAGAAAATGCTGGGCACAGTGGCTCACACCTGTAATCCCCACACTTTGGGAGGCCAAGGCAGGCAGATCACCTGAGGTCAAGAGTTCGAGACCAGCTGGCCAACATGGAGAAACCCTATCTCTACTAAAATACAAAAATTAGCTGGGTGTGATGGCGGGCACCTGTAATCCCAGCTACTCAGGAGGCTAAGGCAGGAGAATCGCTCAAACCTGGGAGGTGGAGGTTGCAATGAGCCAAGATTGCACCACTGCACTCCTGCTTGGGTGACAGGGTGAGAGCCTGTCTAAAAAATAACAACAAAAAAATCCATTCGGGAACGGGAACGCTAAGGAATCAAGAGCAGCAACAACAAGCTAACAGAACTAACTACGAAATGAACAAGTTCATAAAGATCACAGGGAGGACCAGAAGACCTTCATTCACTGCCAATTTTATTTATACTTATTAACAATACATGGTCTGAAAATAAAATTAAGAAGACAGCTTCATTCACAATTGCATAGAAGAATAAAATACTTTGGAGTAAAATTAACAAAATAAATACAAGACTTATACATTAAAATCTACAAAACATTGCTGAGAGAAAGCAAAGACAACCTAAAAAAAATGGGGAGAGATCTTATGTTCACAGATTAGAAGATTCAATATTCTGGTCGGGTGCGGTGGCTCATGCCTGAAATCCCAGCGCTTTGGGAGACCGAGGCAGGCGGATCACGAGCTCAGGAGTTCGAGACCAGCCTGGCTAAGAGACCAGCCTGGCCAATATGGTGAAACCCTATCTCCACCAAAAATACAAAAATTAGCCGGGCATGGTGGCAGGCACCTGTAATTTTAATCCTAGCTACTCAGGAGGCTGAGTCAGGAGAATTGCTTGAACCTGGGAGACAGAAGTTGCAGTGAGCAGAGATTCCACCATTGCACTCCAGCCTGGGTGACAGAGCGAGACTCTTGTCTCAAAAAAAAAGAAGATGCAATATTGTTAAGATACTAGTTTTCCACAAATTGAGCTATAAGTTCAATATTTTTTTATTTTTTAGGTGTTGGGCACCTGTAATCCCAATTACTCGGGGGGCTGAGGCAGGAGAATTGCTTGAATCCAGGAGGCGGAGGTTGCAGTGGGCCAAGATTGCGCCACTGCACTGCAGCCTGGGCAACAGAGAGAGACTCCATCTTGAAACAAAACAAAAAAGAGTTAGGGCTGTGCACACCGGCGCACACCTGTAGTTCCAACTACTGGGGAGGCTGAGGCAGGAGGATCACCTGAGCCCAGGAGTTGGAGGCTGCAATGAGCTGAGATTGAACCACTGCCATCAGCCTAGGGTGTTGGGAACAGGCCCCCCAAAATATGGCCATAAACTGGCCCCAAAACTGGTCATAAACAAAATCTCTGCAGCACTGTGACATGTTCATGATGGCCATGACGCCCATGCTGGAAGGTAGTGGGTTTACCGAATGAGGGCAAGGAACACCTGGCCCAACCAAGGCGGAAAAGCGCTTAAAGGCGTTCTTTTTTTTTTTTTTTTTTTTTTGAGACGGAGTCTCACTCTGTCTCCCAGGCTGGA